CCCAAAGCACAAAACGAAGAAAACCAAAACAGCGAGACAGATAAACAACAACAATAACACCGACAAACGAAGGAAACTCGCAGGAAAAAGACACGGACGAGCCAAAGAAACACTGATCCCCAAATCGGAACGAATCCGACCCGAGAGACAAAACAGAACCGAAGGAAAACAAAAAGCAACGAATAAAAACAACAAACGACAATAAACAAACGAAACAGATAAAAAAAATACGAGAACGAACCAAAAAACACTGACCTCTGAAAACGAAGAAACCTGAAACGCGAAACAAGAAAAGACAAAGGAAACAAAAACCAATAAACAATAGCAATAAACACTAACAAACGAGCAAAACAGACGAAAAGACGGAAACGAATCAGAAAGACACCGACCATCGAACTCAAACGAGTCCGACGAGCGAAAACGGAAAAACCGAACGAAACGAAAAGCAACAAACAACAACAATAAAAACTAACAGACAAACGAAACAGACGGAAAAGAGACGCGAACGAACCAAAGAAACACCGACCCCCCGAAAACGTAACGAACCCGAAACGCGAGACAAAAAAGACAAAGAAAACGAAAATCAATAAACAATAACGATAAACATTAACAAACGAAGAGTGCAGACGAGAAGACGGAAAAGAATTGAAAAGACACTGACCATCGAACCCAAACGAGACCGACGAACGAAAACGGAAAAATCGAACGAAACGGAAAGCAATAAACAATAACAATAAAAACTAACAAACGAACGAAATAGACGGACGAAAGACGCGAGCGAATCAAGAAACACCGACCCCTGAAAACGAAAAGAACCCGAAACACGAAACAAAAAATCAAAGAAAACGAAAAACAATAAACAATAACAATAAACACTAACAAACGAGCAGAGCAGACGAGAAGACAGAAACGAAGCGGAAAGACGCCGACCATCGAGCCCAAACGAGCCCGACGAGCGAAAACGAAAAAACTGGACGAAACGAAAAGCAATAAACAACAACAATAAAAACTAACAAACGAACGAAATAGACGGACGAAAGACGCGAACGAACCGAAGAAACACCGACCCCTGAAAACGAAAAGAATCTGAGACGCGAAACAAGAAAAGACAAAGTAACGGGAATTAACAAACAACAACGATAAACACTAACAAACAAGCAGAACAGACGAAAAGACGGGAACGAACCGGAAAGACACCGACCATCGAACCGAAACGAGTCCGACGAGGGAAAACGAAAAAATCAAACGGAACGGAAAGCAATAAACAACAACAATAGAAACTAACAAGCGAACGAAACAGACGGAAGAAAGACGCGAGACAAAAAGTCAAAGAAAACAAAAATCAATAAACAATAACAATAAACATTAACAAACGAACAAAACAGACGAGAAGACGAAAACGAATCGAAAAGACACTGATCATCGGACTCAAACGAGTCCGACGA